ACACCCTGTAAACCCTATGGTGCGAAGTTGTCTATGACTGTTACCACTAAATTTCTTTTGAATGAATGGTACACCTTGCAGTGCTTAAGGTTTTAACTCTACCCATAATGATATGTCGTACCTGTCAACCACACACACTTAATTATTAGTTCTGGTGGCGCTTTTCTTTAAAAAAAAAAGAAGAAGAGGGGGGGAAGGACGAATTTTTTAACCTTTGCGTTTAGAATAAACGAATTCTGATCATCTGAGAGTAAGGCTGCTTGGTCTCTGTTTCTTTTAATCTGTAGAATGTCTTGCTCTCTTGGAGAAATACATACCATTCGGGAAGATCTTTGCTCATAGATCAGTGATGAAGGTACGGTGGAACCCGGTTAATAAGGACATGAAGTGGACATGCTAGAGAAATCACAGAAAAGTTTCCGTTCTCCGTATTCATTAACCGGTGACCGTACTAAGCGAGTTATTTTTAAAGTAAATATAAGAGCTTTTTGTAACGAAACTGCCCGTTATGTATGGGTGTCCGTATAGCTCCGGGGGTTTTCACTGTACTGATAAAATAAAATGAACTGATTGCAGGTGCTGGACATGGGCTTTCTTCAATACTTCAGATGCTTCTCAACTTTCCAGAACATATCGCCAACAGATCAGATGTTGAAGGACTCATTCACCAGTCTGTTGACTTTGTCCTCTCGTGCGAGATGCCAAATGGAAATTATCCCCTTGTCCCAGGGGAGTTTCGTCCACAGGAGGATGAGTTACTGCACTGGTGTCATGGTTCCCCGGGTGTGGTCTATCTTTTGGCCAAAGCTTATCTCACTTGGAAAGATAACAAGTACTTACAAGCTGCCAAAAGATGCGCTGAGCTGACATGGCAGAGAGGACTATTACGCAAAGGGCCTGGGATATGCCATGGGGTAGCTGGTAAGGTTTTTGGGCTTCTAGTGACATGCCTGCCTCTAAGTTGTCTTGAGAAACCGATAACGTACCTCGGTATTAAAAAAACGGGTTCATTGCCATCGTTCTCGCTCTGCTTCAGTCCATTAACCGTGTAGGGATGTAAATAATCAATAGATTGCGGAGCGCTGCGCGCGAAGTCCTATGTCTTAGACAAAGTAGTGAACCTGTCGAGTTCAATAACTGTGTTGCATACAGACGATCACAGTACCCCCAAACTAAGTGCAATTGATTGGTGACACACACCGGAAGGATAGGCGGATTTTTGACATTTTTAACCTACCGTAATCGATGTTCTGTATGCTATACTAGGGATCTTAAGCAAAGACGACGATGACGACGACAACGAAAACGGTAAAAAGGCAAAAGGTTTAGATAAGTAAAACAACAACTCTAGCTGCACGTGCATCAGGCTTTTTTGTACATTTCCTTGCCGAAGTTGCACGAGTACGTCGTGAAAGTGCGGGACGTGAACACAGGAGAAAGATTTTCTTATTCTTTTTTGAAACTCAGATACAGTCCTCTAGAATTCAATTCCAGAAAAATTTATAAATAAAAAATTGAACGACGTGGAATAAGAGTGATGAATTTTAAAACAGCGTGAGTTTAGTTTTTAAGAGACGATTACGTCACCGTCGTCATCGTCGTTGCTTAAGCTCTCTGATGCCTCTCCAATAGGCCCTGCGTCGACGCCCTAATTGACAAGTACTCTCTTGTTTGTTTATAGGTAGTGGCTACGTCTTCCTATTGCTTTATCGACTCACCAAAGAAGACCAATATCTTTATCGCGCCCAGAAGTTCTGCGATTTCATGCAGACAGATGAGTTCCAAAAAGGAGCCCGAACACCAGACTCTCCATATAGTTTATATGAGGGACTTTCTGGCACTGTGTGTTTCTATGCTGACCTTCTGAATCCTTCGACAGCTGCCTTCCCATTCTTTGACGTGTTCTCCTAAAGTGTCGTTGGGATGCATTGCAGAAACAAAGGCGTCAGCCATTGAAAACGCAGGAGACTCCGAGTCCGTCGTAGTAATGGCTTTAAGCGACTTATTCAGGCCCGGCCTGCTCGGAAGATGGTCGACTTTAATTTTACCCAAAGCTGGGCGAAATTCTAGTTAAATTATTATCTTCCAAGAACGTGTTTTAAACTGGAGTCACTGTTAATCTCAAATAACGAACCAAGACAGTATACTAGAAAGTGAAAGGAAACGTGGGATAAAACGTTTACCTTTACTTTTTAGGGTACAAAGAAAATCTTTTTTTCAGCTTGAGCAGCTGCTCTTTTTGCCCAGAGCAAAAACATTTTTGACGAGAGACTAAAATTCCTTAAAAGCATCACTTGCCCTTCGCACTAAATTCTGCAAACATTTGAAAATTCGGCTGACTTTAGCAAATCAGAGCCCTGCAAACATTTGAAAATTCGGCTGACTTTAGTACATCAGAGCCCATGTAAGCCATTGTATTGACAACATGATTGCTCGGATTGTCTAATCTTATCATGTAAAGATAATCGGTCGACTCGATGAGTGTAGCTCTGGCATTAAAAAGCATTTTGAACTTTAGCCTGCGTGGCGGGACTAAAAAGGGGAGAGGGAGGGGGAGATGGAAAAAAAGCGCGAATCAACCCTAACCCCAACCCCCTCCCTTTTCCCCTTTCTTCTTAATCCCCTTCCCATTTTGACGCCTACTACACAGGCCAGCGTGCAAAGAAAGTCGTGTCCGATAGCCCGGGGCTAGAGCATTTTGCTTTGGGGCTAGTGATTTTTGTTCTTAACTTGCACGACGGGCAAGTGCTGTTTTGGGCGGAAATTTAAATTACAGAAGGATTGTTATCAATCCTGCCAATGAAAAAGGGTATTGGGGCTAGTTGAAATGACTTGTGGGCTAGTACATGCTAGCTACAGCTTTCCGAATGGCAGGCTTTAAAACTGACTTTCTTTGCACCCTGGCAGGCTATTTGAACTTATATTATAACTCCTAACTCTCTTACCTGCATTAGGTTACCAAGTGCCGGATTTGCATATTGTTCCTTGGAATATCTGTTAACTTTTTAGGATGGCTGTGTGCGGAATCTGGTCCCCTATCTTATTTCGTCACGTGATGTTTCCTGAACAGGTTTTCTATATGGTGGAAGGACGAAGGCGATAATGCGCATCACAGTACTGATAATGTTGCTGCTTTATCCAAAGAAAGAAAAGGAGAATGAATTGCACGGTCGCCATTGCCAAATGTTTTCTAATATATGCCTTGATCTTAAACGTTTTATTGCACTCAGTTTAGTATGAAGGTGGTAACCGGCTGACCGGTTTGGCTGAGGCTATGTTCAGGGAAATAGTTGCTTTCTTTGCGATGGAAATAGATCTTGTCACGGTTTTCGACGCCATCTTGAGGAGCAGGCAAACGCGTGAGAAATTACAGTGTTTGTATGAGAATCTTATGTCGACCAATTTCCGAAGAACGGCTGCTCTGAAAAAAAATATATGAACTGTAAACTAAAGCTTCACTCCTAAGGCCTTCGACTGAAAAAAATTGAGGGCGTTACATGCGCTAGAAGACCTAGAACCACTTTTTAAAATTTTCTAAACATTTGTCTGTAAGAAAGTCCTGGGAAAAATTACAGACAAATATATGAAAAATGTGAAGCAAGCCTCTAGAAAACTTTATAAATGTATATAGAAGCTCGTCATATCGAGGTTTCACTGTTATAACTGAATAAACAAGAACGCGCTCACAGCGTCACTCAGTCTCACTTCTTTGGAGATTAGATCGAGAAATGAGGAGGCGATTCACTACACGAAACAGGATTTACTCGCTAAAGGTTTTTTTACTTCCTACTTTATGGACATCGATATTTTTGACTTGTTTCTGAATTGATTTAGTACACGCGTTAGCGACTACTGCGGTCGCAGGCTGTAAGCGTGTATAAATACACGAAAATTTAAGGGCCTCCTATACGTCATTGCCAGATATATATAAAAAAAATAGTTTACATCGCACGTTATTTCAATCATCGCCGAAAATAAACCGAATACTCATCACAAGACCGTTTGCATACAATGAAAGTTAACCCGACCATCGCAGTTTTGCTGATTTAGATTCTTGTTTTTAAGACTACTCAGTAGTGTTCCCTTGTTCCAAAGTAATCAACGCTTTCAAGCGATAGAATTCGTTGACCGACACGTTTCGGAAAAGCTCTAAATTTAATCTTCCCTAAACATGCGTGGCTTCAATCACGCAACGATTCTTTATAGTCCCACTTTCCATGGTCTGCGCAGGGAACGCCTGGCACAATGACGCCCCATTTGTATAACTACGACGGAAAATCCAAGGGTTGGGGGGGGTACTTCCAGAAAAATTGGGTGGGGGTGTGCGGCACGCTTCCTGAACCCTTACCCTGTTTCAGACCAAAATCTGTGATTTTCCTACCCTATTTCAGACCTGATCATAAATTTGATATCCTATTTCAGACCTGAAACCCTGGAGCCCGGTGCGTGAAAAGCTGTCACGGCACGTACACGGTTGGCGTAAACATTAAAATGGTCTTATCGGCAAATGATGAAGAAGTAGCTTCTTCTAAAAAACCATTCCAAATTCAAGACTAGAGTGCACAAACCATACCCTATTTAAGACCAAAATGGTCGAAACTGACACCCTATTTCAGACCAAAAGGGCTAAAAAACTATCCCCTTTGGCGCCGCACATACCTATATAGCCTATATAAGGGACTACCCCCGGGCCGAAAAACGCATCGAAGATTATGAGCCTCGCTGCTTACGCAAAAATATATTCTGCACGAAGGAGAAATTTTTGAGTTCATTAGTTCATCTTTACTTTTGTGATTACTTGAAAACCAAAGATAGAATATAATAGAAAGTCACGCGAAAACAGGGTGAGCACGATACTCGCGTGACTTTCTTTAATATATTATAAGCCATGAAATCCACAAAACAGATTCTTAAGACTCATTCATCCTCGTACATTTCTTTAAAGTTTTAATTGAGAGAATGTTGTAACAGATCAAAACATTCCTCCTTTGATTATTTATTAATTCTCATAATCTTTTCTATTGATGACGTATTGATATTGTTGGTCACTCTTGGGACTTAGCACGTACTTAGCGGAATTCCTAATCCCTTCGTTCCTCTAGGTCACGCTCTCACAGCTTATTATAGGCTGAGGTCCCCGTCTGCTTAGCTTTCTAGCTTTCTCCTCGTGATATGGCCCAGAAGACAGCCTGTTCACAGGCTAAAATTCTCGGAGAACTTTGTAGCGCCTTGTGCAGTCGCCCACATAGAATTAAGGGCTGCCTTTGGTATCGTCGAGAAACTTGTTTGTTTTGTCATGAAGGCCCCCCACGCCCACCCCTCAATACTGGCTTTTAATATATTTCGCTTCGCTATTGTAGCTTATATTGACTTGCATGACTGCTGGCCTAAGTGAATGCACTGTAAACAAACGCCTAAGTGCTGTATGACAAGCTAAAATGGATTCGTTGAAAAGTGTCGCTTCCAAGGTTAAACATAGCCCACAGGTAATAAGGAAAACGTTTTCAAGTCAGCAGAAATCCTACAGCAAGGTAACTGAAGGAGAAAGACCCAAAGGTAAGATTGTCAGTTGTTTATCGCTCGCTCGCCATTTTTCTGTCGCGGAGGAAGTGAACATTGCTTCCATTCATTTTAATAAGAAAAAAACGAAAGGGTAAATCTGCACTTGAATTAATAAAACAGTAAGATTCGTGATAGGTACAGGAATGAATAAGTTATGGATTTGGGCACACTGGTCAACATGTATTGATTTCCGAGTAGTAGTTACGAAAGCTTGGATCTTAAATTTCGTTGCAATTTGCAACGCTTTGACTCTTCGAACAAAGTCATAGATGAATTTATCTTGGGTCTCCTTGCAAACTATATCTATATAGCTCAATCTAAAATATAACCGAGCATTGGAACTTTTATTTTCGGTGGTGTTAAACTTACACTGTGGAGTCGCTAAGCGCTTAAGCTTTAGGGAAATATTTTCCTTGTTTTACTGTCAGATTATTCTACGACTATTTCAATATAAACAAGAAAAATTTGCATAATATACTTCGCATTGTGCTAACTGTCTTACTTTTCATTAACTCTTCTTTATCTATAATATGAAAAACTTGCACTTGATTGTGTTTAAAAGATCGATCATTTGGATCACGGCATACAAATACATATCGTCGAGTAGTTTGCCGCTAATGATCATGACACTTCCGTTCAGTACTATTCAATGGTGCATGTATGGGGTTACATAATATTTTTACTCAAGGCATAATCATAGGCCATGAATAATTGGCAACAGCTGCATGTTACGAAATGAAAATGGAGTGAATCAATTCAAAATTTCTCTCCTTTTAGTTTACGCTTCCTCCTCCACAAGTTCGAAAGGTTCATGTAACTTGAACCATGAAACATCAGACGTCATGACAGATTTGTGCTGGGACTCTTCCACACGTATTACGTATTCTACAAGTGGCACAACTCTTGTCCCCATATTGATAATATTACGCGTCACTTGATGAAGATATACTTTATGCACAAAGTACATACCAATATCCCAAAAAAAGACATTTTAAAAAGCATTTGCTTTTTAAAATGTTTTTTATTGTGATATTGTTGTGCTTTGTGCATAAAGTATATCTTCATTAAGTGACGCGTAATATTAAAATGATAACAATAAGAAAAATCATAATAATATTATTTTTCTATAAATTGTTAGTAGTATTAATTATTATTATTATTATTATTATTATTATATGATAATAATATTACAAAAGAAATACATATAAGTGCCAAAGAGTGGCACACAGTTTCGCACAGATCCCAGTGGGGAAAAGGTCGACAATATGAAATAAAGTGGGAAAGCAAAAGTGGGGAAGGAAAGTAAAGGAGAAGAATAACACCATGTTGCTGGGAAACGAACCCAGAAGCGAGCGCATGAGTGGCATATCCCATAAGCCCACGAAATTAACCCTACCCATTTCTAATATTTCTCTTCAAAAGCCGTCGTTTGTTATAGCATTATGACAGGATTAAGTAACTCTTCTTTCACTAACATTTCTCTTCAATTTTTTTTCGCCCCTGGAAGAGTTATGTGTTGGCGGAAAACACCATTTGAAGCTAGTGGTGCCTGTCACTATTTGACTGTCTGTTATGATCATATGAAAGAGGGGCCGGAGAAGTAGAGGGTGGGAAAGTGCCGTACCTTTGGGGCCAGCAAATCCGTACCTTTGTGTTGGCAAGACCGATGTGAGTCCTTATCGAATGACTAAATGCAAATATATCTTTTGTTGACTTCCGTACTCGCAATCCCTTCATGATTATAATCGAGGGTGTAGTAAGCAGAATCGGAGCTGTTTTAATAGATCATAGTGCTCTGTGCCTGTGGAGTTACGTTTTTATCGCTAGAGGGAAAAACGTTAAAGAGGCACGCGAGCTGCTAACAAGACCCAAGCCGGGGCTAGCTAGAGCTCAGATAAGTCGGTTTCTCCGTAGCAAGAGCATCTAACGACT